TAATCCACTTCGATCCATTGACCTGTCATTTCAGGCTGGTATCAAGATCCATAAATGATCAAAAGAAGTAATCTCAAACATTTCAACAACGGAAAAAAATATCAATGAGGAAACCAAAAGGTATAAAAAGATAAGTAAATCTATTGCTCACAAATATTTAGTGATGCAATTTTTTTAGAAAGACTTTGGTTCCTTCTACTGAGGAGAAATATGGAAACCTATATCATGGGGTGGTCAATTGAATTCAATAACCAACCAGATGAATATGAAAAGGTGTTTAAAACAAAGAGCTTGAGTTCACAACCATACTGTAAGAATGTTAGATAAATATTTTTAAGTTGACTCAAAACTAAAACCACAACGGTGATTTACAAACTTGTATTATCTGTTTTTTCAAAGTGCAATAGGATGATGGTTTGATGATTTTTGGTATCAGATCTATACTCGAGTCCTGTTTTTGGATTGCTCAAGCTGAATCTAAAAAATCTCCTAATTTTATATTTACATTGTACATTCCTATCATGAGGGAACTCAAGACTGACCTTGTATTCTATCACCTTCTTAGCTTTTCCAAATTTGTTTTCTCCTTCTTTACTTAGTGTTCCTTAATGTTTTCACAAACTCCAATCATTTTGAAATCTTCATTTCCCTTGTGATCTGACAAGAGATGCCCAAAAAGGAGAATGAATCTTAAATTCTGTCAACTTTTTGTTTATAAAAACACCAAAAAAAGTATCAAAATCACTCACAAAGGTTAGCGATAGATCAAAATCTGAAGTTTTACATAAATCTACCAAATGGTTCAATCCATTAAAGGTTTTGGATCTAGCTTTAGTTGAAAGATCAGTAGGAAATGAACCATCAACCTGATTTGAAATTTAGAAAGAAACTTTCTTATCTAATTTCATCATTACTTCTAAACAAATTGTACTTGATCTGGATTTATGAATCTTTAAGCCTGTTTGATCTAATAGACTTATGGGTGATAAGATTGCACATAATGATTGTGATAGTTATCCTTCTTCCTATCACCAGTCAAATCGAGTAGACCGATTAGAACAAAAAAAGTTATCTATAGATGACAAAGAGATTATCACAAGGACCGCCAGATCCCCCCTCGACGTCGAGGAGGGCCAGAGCCTCGCAGTTGCATCCAGACTGCCTTGCAAATATGTTTCATCTGAGCAGCTCAGATACTCAATGAGTATCAGTGAGCAGCTATGTACGTTCAGCCATTCCTCTAAGCTTTGGGGAACATAGGGCTATCACAAGGTCCAAGACTGAGTCTCAGTTGTTGAGACCCAGAGTTTCACAACCTTTTCCAACTGTTTCATACCCTGTCAAACAACCCACAACTCATAACCCTTGTGTCACACCTGAGTTATAGATTGAAAGGCTAGTTCAGTCTAGTTCGATCTGCAAATGCGGCAAAGTCACTTCATCAACTAGGATCAGATGAGCACGCCCACCAGCAGACGCGAAAGAAGAAAGTTACCAAACACACTGGCATTGATGACCTTGTGCCCGCTTCAATCGGCAATGAAATGGATATTGATAAAGGGAAAGGCAGGAAAAAATTACTCAATCTGATAAATCCAAAGAACAAATTGTGATCGATCAAAAAATTGCTGAGATCACCGACCTTACATCTACTCCAATGGGCACTCACGGTGAACCCGACTGACATAACATGTCTCGCGGAACAATTGCTGGTCTTTTGAAGAGCAAAGGGCTCGTACCTCGAGATTGCATCCCTTCAGGAGATTCCACTGCTCGCCCAACTACTGAAAGATTGCTCTCATTAAACCACAATTCAAACTCAGACGGAAAACCATTGATCGCGCGTCCTACGACTGCTCTTCAACCAAACAACCCTTCTCCTTCCCTATTTGACAATCTCAAACCTGGTCCTAGCAATCCATCCAGCCTCGCTATGCCACCTCAAATCTATGGACCATTTGATTGGCTCGCCATGGAAAGCTGGGCAGCTCAAAGTTTCTTTGGTCCCAATGCAGATCAAATCAACATCAAAGATGACACTTCACTATGTGGATCGAGCCAATGGTGTACTTGGTCTCAATACTTTCAATGAATTGATTTTGAACAGTCATGAAACAAAAAGTGATCCATGATGACCACTATCAAAAGTAATTTAAAATCATCACACCTTGTTGTAATAGATCTCTAACTTAGACTCCAATTTGCTAATTGTATATATCATACTTTGTCTGACCCTCTGCCTAACCAGCATTCTGGCGAAGTGCCCTTTTATGTATGCATACTGAAGAAGCCAGTCAGATATGTGACTGACAACAATCGGCTCAGCTTGTGTTGTGACTTCTCTTTGCGCGTGCGAGCGTCTTGTGAAATAGTCAAATGTTTGGGTGATAAGTTACTAAGATTTATTGAGGCTTATTGCTGTGAAATCACTTCGTATCTATGCTTCTAGTTCATTGGGTGAAAGTGGAGGAGATCTACCTAGAAGTCTTTGAATCGTTTCACTATAATATAACTTATAATTCTTTGTTCGATTCTGAACAAGTTCCTTTGTTACTCTCATAATCTCTCCTAACAAGCTTTAATGTTTCAGTATCCCGTCTGCTTCCTCTTTGTTTGCTTGAATGGGCTTGGGTACTGCTAGTAGAGGTCAAGAGGTTTGAAGCTGTCGAGATGATACATCATTGGCGCTGGACATTCGTAAGGAATGTCGGTGGTCTAAGGTTGCGCAGAGTAGGTCAAAAGGTCCGGGAAAACACTTCGGAGACCGAGAATGTTAAAAGCGTTGATATCAGATAATCCTTCAAGTGAAATATGCATGCTTGAATGAGAGACTTACTCGAAGTTGTAGTGTTTTCCATGAAGTTTGAAAAACTCGAGAAGCCAACATTTTTGTTCGGTTGATGTCGACACACTGGATCTTGAAGTGGAGCTAAGTGGCAGGTTATCAATATTTGATTATCAGGATCGCAGAAACAGCTACCGTACTATATACTATCCATACTAAAGACTCACTTTGAAGAAATGAAATGACCAGACAGATGATACTGTATGAGCCTAGCCCCCATTGTTAAACTTGTTCATCCCTCTTTGTTTCAAGGCGGACTTGATGACTAGAATCATTCACTTTGCAGCACCCAACTCTTCAACCACCTTACTTGTTGCTCTTTGTTCATCTGCAGTTTTGTTTCTTCTTTGCGTCTTTTACTTTGATTTTGGGAATGTTGATGATGTTGCTGTCCAGCTCACAGGTCTTTAACAAATAGTCCACATCATTGGGTAACTCATCCACTTTTTCCAAAGCTGCCAGTCCATTTGATTGACTAATTCTGAAATCGACTTGAGAGTTTCCAAAAAACGTGTTGAATTTGACGATTGGAAGTTTGGCTTTGGCGATCACCACAACGTCTTGACCAATATTTTGTTCGCAAAGTATAGGTGCCAATTTGTAGAGAATTTTGCTTTTTGCATCCTTCATCATGCAGGTTGATGAGACCACTAAATCAATATTGTTGAGATAAAGATGATAATACAACGCCAACTCGCGAGTCAATCAGCTACACTTGCTCGTAGACTCTTGGATCGGGTATGAAATTGATTCCGAATAATTGTGATCCAGTTGAAGGCAAGCTGCTGGATGAAGAAAGAGGTAAGATAAACGGAAGGGCTGCAGGAGAAGGGGTTGGGTGAGATGTCTCGCATGTGATACTCCACATGAGTTCATGAGGGAATGTTGACATCTTCCCGTGTGAAATATCAAGGTTGAGTTTTCCAGATAAGCTCGTCCAGTTTTCTCAGCGGAGTTTCCGTGGAATGAGGAGTTCAGCCCTGTTCAGCCCAAGCTGAGAGCTCAGAGACGGTCAAGCTCACTGATCATGTGATTTTTGCCTAAGTGTTGGCTAAGGCTAGGACACACAAAGGCAGGCGGGATTGGACACAATTGCGACAAAATTGCAAGGCTGTAAACCCCCCTCAACGTCTGGGGGGGATCTGGCAGTCCTTGTGTATGTACCATCAGCTTTTGGGCTTTTTGAATCGTTCATTGACCCAATTTTTGAAACTGTTAGTACTTGACTTGATACGTGATAAGCCACGTCAATATTTCTCGAATATCAAGTATTGATTACGATGACTTCAAGTATCAGTAGAAATCATAAGATAACATCGGCCAATACGGTAAAGAGTAAAATCAAAGAGACTGGGTGAAACGTGTCACAATACTCTCCAAAAGGTTTGATTTCAAGTAGATCAAAAACCATACCATAGGCTTTCTTGAAATCTCGGGCTGAGCATTGATTCTAGATGTCTTCTTCTATCAACGTTACTAGCCAATTGGGCGGCGGGCGCCGCCATAAACCATGGAGGACGTACATGATGAGTAGTGATATCTAGTACCTGATGAAGACAAAAGAATAGAAGCAGCTTACCATATAAACATGATGATTGAATTTAATTAATTGCCAAACAGTGATGTCAATTTCACTCAAGCTCTGCAAAAATCAAGAAGAGGAACAATATTTTAGGTCATGGTGAGTTGCAGAACCAAGGAGAGTCTCTTGCAGTTAGAATCAAAACACCATGTTTGTGTGTTCTTTACTGGGTTTTTATGATGTAGCAAAGACTGAGGAAATTGAGATCGATAATCATTGGCTTATAGATACAACTAATGGTTTCTTTGGCTCATCATACTACACATGTTATTGTAAGATTGTGACATCATAGTCTGACTTTGTTCTATATAAGATCCTGTGTGCTCTTTACTTAGATCTTTTTCTTCATCAAACTCAAACATTTATCTTTTGCAAAATCTTCCTTTCATCCAGATTGTTCATCTTGATTTTGGTCAAGTTCTCAGCTTACAATAAGCTGATTACCTGCCTCTCACAGGTAATATCCATTTTAGTTGGCCCACCACCATGCCGCTGTTATGCAAGCCATAATTTACATATTTTGATCAATACCCTTAAAGTGTGTAGGCTTTCTACCCAAACTGATACCTGCTTATATGAGTTCTATGTCACTCTGTAGTGTCCCTCTTCAGGTGTCAGCTCCCGAGCTTTGGCTCCGCCAAAGCCACAAAAGCTCTGGCTGATTGACCAGTTGGTGAAATTCCTGGATCAATTCTCAAACTTTGTCCAGGTCCATATCAGCAGTGATTTTGGAACCAGCAGCAATTTCAGCAATGTATTGTTTGAGTTGAGATATAACATTTTGGCTTCATACACAATTTGACCCTTCACAGCTACTGTAGTCTTTGGGGAAGTGGGGAATGTGACCACAGAGAGGGGGAAGCATAAGAAACCTCACAACAGTATATTTACTATTGCGGTACATGGGTGCAGTGCTGATAGCCTTGCAACAGTTGCTGAGAAGGATCTGTCCAGTCTACTGGGCCAGTTGATATCGTTCTCCTTTTAGCATGTCAGTTTGTCACACATCTAACAAAGCTGGGTTGGCTTGGTTCATGATCACCAGAAATTAAGAATGTGAACATGATCAGCTACAGGTTGGAATCATGATGAGTTGAGAACTTGCTTTGGCAGGGATGACCCAATCTACTGTTTGCAAACAGCCATAAATACTGCAAAAAAAATATGTGAGCTCCAAAGAAAGCTGCTACTTCAAAATAAAAAACAAACGACATGTCAAAGAACATCCTACAAGCAATCTGACAAACCTAATTCCAGACTGAATCAAAATGACGGGCTTTCAAAGTATTGAAGACCAGCTGGATGTTTTGAATGTAAGACTCCCCAGGTTGCTTGTGGTTGGCATTTAGTTAGTTTCTTTGCTTACTATCACATATGACTGAGTCAATTACAATCAGCTTGATTCAGATGATTGGGAAGAGATGGAGACAATTTAGTGATTGCGAAAATGATATACTAATTGTTTACCAATCATTTGTTGGCCAAGAGTAAGAAAATCAATATGAGAGGATGATGGCAAAGTGTTGATTGGCGTGTAAGGAATGAGTCCAATCATCTTAATCAGTCCAAATGAGTGTTTTGGTAGATCTTAAGGCAATCAGTTGTACAATTGCTCTAAGTGTTGTTCCATGGTTGTGATAGATAGATATATCAAAAAGGTTTGCAAAATGTTGAATCAATCCTAGAAGGTACAGTGTAACACTTTAGATTTTTGATACACCACTTAGAGCAGGGTCTTTAAGTTTGAATATCTGATTTAACAACCAATGACGGTGTGTTGGAGATGTAAAATCAACAGTCCCCTTTGGATACCTTTGACATGAGTCAAATGTTTCAATTCTATAATCCGACCAAACGGATTTTTGGGGCTGAAGCTTGGTAGCCTTTGTGATGAAGGCATCTTATCCCAATGACTCTGTGGCTTATCAAAAGATGATTTATCATGCATTTCAAGATCATTCCAATCAAAACAACAAAATTGAGATAGTACCTGCTATGCATTGTCTAAACACTTACTTTCAACGATTGATCTTAAATAATAAGATGTCAAGGCCCGACTCTCAAAGCTTGCAGACCTTGTGATGAATTAGATAGAGCCGGCGCCCAATCATCATGATTTTTCTTTTGACTGATCTTTGAGCTCTTGATGAAAAATGAAGATCACATATAACATTGACCTGACAAGCTTTGTAAGATAATGATTTGAAGATGAGTGAGAGTTGAAGGTGAATGAATCATTGAATTTGATACTAAAGCAGCTTCAGTGTTGAAGATGTAATTATAGATTGAGATGAGTTGATGTCAATTACAAAGTGATCAATCCAACGATGATGGGATGTGACCTGATGCAACCAAATCTGCTTGTTTGATTTCATTCGGAGAAAGTAATTCAATTGAGGTTTTTGAATGAGATCAGATTAATTTGTATGATAGATGACCAGTTTTGATTTGATTAGTAATATGAGTCTTTGCATCTACAATTTCTTGCAGCATATCTTCTAATTGATTTTCTTCTGATAATTCAGAATTTATTCTTTTTCTAGATACTCTACTTTTTGTTGGAAGTTTTGATATGATTTGATATTCTGATCAATCGAAAAAACCAAATTCATTTTGATCTTCTTGATCTGATGCATTGGTCAGACTGGGTTCTTCTTGATCCAGTTTGGGTCTTGGGATTGATAGGTCTTCTAGTAAATTCAAAGCTATGATTCTTTCCCTGTAGGTCTGTTTGAGTCCTTCTACTTGAGTTTGTTGCATTAAATTCATTAGTTTTGATGGTTTCATCACATGCTTCTTATCTTCAGGATTTGAGTCCGACTCGAGGATCCTATCAAATCTTTGTTTGGTCTTGATGTCTTTCATCGGTGTAGAACTTGAAGCTCAACAAGAGCTTTACAGAGCTTAAAGAGGGATAATCTAATAATATAACTAACTAGTAGAAGTTGCCTAAGACTGACTCTTTGAAAGAATCAACACGGGGTTTTGCTGAATTCTTTGGGATAAGGCACCAGAGAAATTTGTCTCAATACTTAATTCAAGTATTATTCCCGTGATTTTTAGAAATAAAGAAATCTCAACACTACTATAGTGTTATTCCAATTTGAACACAATTAAACACAACTTTGAATTACTAGCAAAGCAACAATCAGTTTGATTGTTATTCCAATGAAGACTTGTAGTCTTATCACATGTAAAGAAATCTCTCCTTTGATGTAAAGGGGCAATTTAGTGAACTTAGGCCGCGTTCACTTAAGCGCTTTTTCGTGAAAAAGCGCATTCTTGAACGTTGATAAATCGCATTCTGTGAAATGTGTTTGATTCCTTATTTACAAGCATTCTGTAAATCACAGAATGCTTATAAAAAGTCTTTTTTTGCCGATTTTCGAGAATGGTCTATCAAAGCATTCTTCACAAATAAATCACATTCTGTGACTTTCACGAAATTGGACAAGTCCCTGTCCACCGTACGGATTGCTCCAAATTCGGACAAGTCAACCTTTCCCATACATCCACCGTACGGATTGCTCCAAATTTGGACAAGTCAACCTTTCCCATACAGATCCTTACACCTCTCAACACCCATCTTCTTCCATCCTCGACCATCATCCACCATCTTCCATCCTCAACCATCATCCACCACTCAACCAACCTAACATGTCCAGTTCTGACAGTAGCAGTATCATCATTGATCCACCACCAAAAGCCAAGAAATCAAAAACTCAATCAAAAACTCAATCGAAATCACAACCGAAATCAAAAGCAGTCAGTAATTCAAGCAAATCGAAAGATAAGAATGAAGAAAAGAAAGAGAAATCTCCAGTACTGGTGCATCATGGGATCAACGTCATACCTTGTATCTCATCGATGAAATCAAGAGTCAAATGGAACTTGGGAAGGGAAATGACGGTGGCCTCAAGACCGAAGGATGGGGAATAGTTCGGACTAATTACAACAACAAATTCAAGAGTGATGAACCTTTGAGTCGATTGAAGAATCACTTTCAAAAGGTTAACAACTCATCATCCTTTCATCTTCAATCTTACTCTCA